ACCAGTCCACATGAATCCGAAATCTGAAATACTTTTGAATAACTTGCAGAATTGTGGCGACACTTACAATACAGACAGACGTGCGATAAAATAACTGCATCAAAAATAATTTGAACAATTTCATTAGCTCTAATAATAATAATGATACTAACACCATACATTCAACAAGCATTTCACTACCTCTATTCATTTTCATCATTTATTATTTTTTTAAAACATCCACTCAGTATGCTATCATTTCTAAGTGGCAGCACTCTCCACCGCGAACAATAAACGAAAACGAATTTTATTATTATAAATTGATGGTAAACTGCTCCTGAATCCATCTCCACTCTCCGTTTCTCTCCTTCAAAAAATTTTTTTGAAAAAAACACCCACATTACCTTAATCCAATCGGATTTTGCGGGATCAAGTCGTGCGTTCACCTCAACTGAGTCATTCACAAACGCTGATCCTGAGCCAACTATCTGCAGCACGGGAACTTTCAGGGTAGGACCGGCCGTACCGTCACGAGAGAACAGTAACGGCGTACGACTAAAATAAAACTGGACGCTTGAAATCAGATAAAATAAATACCTATACTATTGCTACCCAATACCTCCTGATACTGAAATTGAGTCCTATTGTAATTCCCACAATAAACATCAACAACATCGACTGATCGAAGCTAGGAGAAAAAAAAGAAAACATTATTCTCTACAAAACTGCACTAAATTCAGTTGATTTCAATGAATATGAGGCGAACAACATAACAATGTGTCATATTTCAAGAAATACCTCTCACCACCATCCAAAATCATTATTATCATTCAATATCCATGCTGCGCGTGAAATGAACTAACAAAGATATTACATTATTATCATTCACTGCTTACCACTTCATAGGGAAAATTAAAACAGCATAAAATTTCGCTGAAACTAACTTCAAATACGACTCGATGAAAGAGGCAAGATTGGTTGGGTTGGGAAGGTTCTGAAAATAGACACGATACTGACGTACAATATCCGGATTGTACTGCTCAAGATGTTTTCCGAAGTGATGCCATAATAGATAATCAACTGTGAATGAGGTCATTCCATGAGTTCGAAGGTAATTCATATTGACCTGAAATCAAACTCAATTCATTTTCAAACAAACACTCTAATTATTCATTTTTCACTACACCGAATCAGGAATGTCTTCGGAACAATACAAAGAAATGAACTAGCTTTTTAAATTATTCGTTCGGAACACAAGTCATACTTCACCGGAAAAACACCGCTTTTCCATCAGAAATTTCAATTTGATCAGAAAAATTCGCAAATTATCGCAACAAATCACCTTCTGATATCCCCATTCAATCCATCCGGCTGTCGTCCCCACACAGTTCACCAACACCAACGCATCCAATTTCGTTTCTTCTAACAACTGCAAAATTTCGTTCACTAATACTGACTATTCTCCAATAATACAATCGGATCATCTGCAGATTATTTGTTTTTCATTTTCCATTTAAAAATCTCGTCTCCTCCTCACTAATACCAGCCAGCAAAACCAGTAATACCAGAAAACTTTCATAACTACGGTCAGAACACTGTAAAAACTTCCTCCCTTCATTTTTCCTCTGAAAACTCCCACTTCATAACTTTTATTCTCTTCCATCGTCGAAAATCATCAAAACTGCGGCGATTTCCTTTACTCAACGAATCATTATTCATGTTCACAAGCACAATCACACTGTTATTCCCTCATAAACAGATCCATAATTTCATTTGCTTGAGTTTCGAGATAATACTGTGTTCATACGAATGCAGATGAGCTTGGGTGTATGCTCTGGGCTCGCTTCCATCCGTTTCCGATGAAACAAAAATAATATGCGAATGATGCAAGCTTGCAGCTGACTGCCTGCAACTCTACGCTTAGCTAACTATCGGCAGTGGTCATTGAATGCATACTTCTTTCTCATCATCCATCATACGCCTATCGCATATTCCCCGAAATCTTCACTAATCCATCCCTTTCGCACGCTCACCATCTTCTCCTTATACACACCAAACGATAAACAACAACAACCTCAATACGTTATCGAGTGCATTTCTATGGTGATCACAAACACATTGACTTCTTATTTACTCGCTCGCTCATTTCTGCTATTCAACTATACTCTGACTAACGGTCACTTAAATGAAATTCTATTCGGATAGCACAATCTAGTTTTCTGAACATGAATGTTTCTTAACATAATATATTTCTTAATATGATAGCATAATAAATACAATTTGTGTTTCGATCCATCTCACGAATGTACACGACTCAACTAACTATAAACATCTACAATTCACACATTATATTTCGTCATTTATTCAAACCATCCTCCTTGCTCCAGCACATACACAAACCTAACTAAAAACATAACCAAAAAAATGTTACTTTAAGATAAGTCAGAAATGACCTCCTAGTGACTGACTAAAAACGATCGTTCAATTGAGAGACTTCACCCAATTGCAACAATCCTTTGCTTTCACAATACACTAATCAAAGATTAAACATTCAAATTTCAAAT